TTCTTATTTTTTAACAACACATTCTTTCCATCAATCACTATTCCAAAATTTATTCTTCTCCAAAATGGGTGTCAAACACACCCTAAAGTAATTTTATTGGTTTGTGTGTAGAATATTTTATTGGGTAAATGTGTGGTGGAGAATTTTATTGTAGCAAACAATGTTTTGGAATGATGAGAGACAAACGAGGCTTTGAAATTTTGGTTTTCTTCAATAAACACTTAGCCCATGTTTGAAAAATAATTTTTGGAATAGTGATTGATGGAAGATTGTGTGGTTAAAAAGTAAGGAGAATTTTTGGGTTTATGTGTAATATTATTTTATTAATAGAATGTGTGATTGAAATGAAAAAAGAGAAATAGAATGAGAAAAAAATGGGTGTCAAACAGGGGCTAAAAGTTCAATGTCTTTTTACGAATTCCAAGTTTTCATACAATAAGGTATGCATGATTTACTGGATTCTACTTGGAGAGTACAAAATTTGCATTTGTGTGAATTTTTGGGTTTATGTGTATTATTATTTTATTAATAGAATGTGTGATTGAAATGAAAAATGAGAAATAGATTGAGAAAAAAATGGTTGTCAATCAGTAATGACTTTAATTAAATCAGTAATTTGAACGATTTAAAAAAAAATAAAATTCTTTCAGTAAGTATTTTTGGGCTTTAAAAAATCCTCCTAAACCCACACTAAAGTTATGTTTGAGTCCCATTTTTGAGAAAATAAATTTTGTAATAGTATTTTTTGATGAATCTATAGTTAAAAAAAAAAAAATGAAAACGTTTAGATTTTATATACAAAATTATATTATTGAAAAATATGTGATTAAAAATAAATTTAAAAAATAATGAATTTTTAGAGAACGAGAATCAAACAAATATATAGGTTATCCTCGTGCACCCTACATTGGGGTGGCCAAGACTTTGAAACTTCCAACACTCTTTTAGTGCACGGTTTCCCAACTTTTTCCTATAACCTTCCAAGGCAAGACTCAGCCCCACAACGTCCCCTTTCACTCTCATTCACGTGCATTCCTGCAAACTTAAAAAGTTGTGGTGGTTTCATCACTTTGAAGAAACAGCAATAAAAGTGTTGCGTTCCAAACATTATCGTACTCGTACATTGGCGACATGTTTAATAAGATAGAATTACAAAACTTATTTATTGTCATTGGCAGAGTTTTTATTGGGGTTTAGGGTGTGTTTGAGCCACATTATTTTGGAAGAATGTATTCTGAAATAGTAGATTGATGGAGAATTTGTGGTTGAAAAAGAAGGAAAAATTATTGATGCGATGGAAAATATTATTTTATTGAAAAATGTGTGGTTGAAAATGAGTAGAAGAATGGGAATAAAAAAATAATGTGTACCAAACAGGGCCTTAGTTTTGAAAATTACAATNTTTTAATGTGTACCAAACAGAGGTTTAAAAAGTATAATCTCGTATCTATTTCCAAGTTTAGGGTAATCCTACGGTGAGAACAACCTTAACTTCCAAGCAAGTTTGATTTCGAAAATGTTGTGACTTGAAATGATTTGTTGGGCCCAACCAATCGTCTGATTGTCGGAGCCCATAAAATCCACTAATTCAATACTGGTCCACTCCTCCAAAATATATTCAAAATATTTTTTTATTAATTACATTTTTAAACAATTAATCACCAAATCAACAAATGACAGTCACTTAATCACGTTAAAGTTGACTGTTTTGGAGTCTAGAGTTAGAGTATTGTAATTCAAATAATTAATTAATTATTACTTGTAGCCTGTAGGTCCCATATTTGCTTTATGCAGGCAAAATTATTTTCCTCATTTTTTAAAAGTAACTTTTTGCCTTTTTATTCTTCAGAACATGAAATAAAAC